TAGTGGTGTTGTTTGTTTTGTGGGGGGGTTTTGTGGTTTTTTATTCGCAAGCCCAACACTTTGCCGTTTGATTTTTTCTCCATCCTGGAGCAGACATTGACAATTATGGCAGCCCATGTCTCAGTTTTTGCTGTTTGTCATAAGGCTTTTCAGGCCATCTGTGTCTGTTCTTCTCTGTCTTCATTTGCTCTTCTTTCCTTTTGTCTTTCTACAAAGAAGCAATTTCTCAATTTGTTGTGTTGATGTAGTTAAATTATTTCATCTGATTAAAGACTTCTCATTTCCTTCTGTGTTTGTTGTTCTCGTGACCGACATCTGTGATGTAGTGGTTACGCGCTTCGCTGTCGCACGCAGTGGACCCGGGTTCGATTCTCGAAGGGAGAGATATTTTATCTGGTATCTTTGCTCCTTCTTTTCGGCTGGGATGTTGTATCCCTGTCAGCCCGGGTTGGCCCTGATAGGCAGGGTCAAAGTGCTTCCTCCAAATGATCTAAATTATGTCGATGGAGGCGTAAAGAAAACACCTGAACGTTTTTTAAAATTGCCTTTTCTGTTAGGGATATTCAAAAGTATTCCTTACACTTCAATAGCTAAAGGTTTACTACAGGTTTACGATATTTCATCAAAGAATTAATACGTTTTGTGTAAAACTTAAACTCTCTATGGTATAAGTGCAGCTATTCTTCTTCGTTTCTTTTTATATATTCGCAAAGAAATGTTCGGATGGTGAGAAATGAATGGGTTACCTGTTCTTCTTACAAATGGAAAAACAGGTCAATATACGATTGCCAATATCATATAACATCCAAATCAGTTAGGTTTTTATGTGGTTTTTTAACCTGGTATTTTTTTATTTTTAACTTTCTACTCTTGTATCTCAGGTGTCAAATACCTTGACGAATGCCCGTTGGAACCGCGGATTCCCATATACCATCTGGTGGGCGGATGTTTTGGTGCTTTGAAGATAGCATTGGCGCTGTGGAGGACTATACAGGTCAGTCTACCTTAGTGTTGTCTTTCTACTGTAGTGTTGTTACGTCCCTGGCAACACAATTTAGATAATTTAGGAGGCGGGCTTTGGCCCTGTCTGTCAGGGCCAGCAAAGGGATGAGCGGGATAAAACACCCTATCAGAAGTACGTAAACGGTTCGATAATTGAATTCTCCATGCGAGAATTAAGCTTTAGTTTCATGTCTACACTGGCGAGGAACCTAACTTTTACCCCCACAGATGCTGGGCATCAAACATGTTATCTATACTTGTAATATCAATTATTATAATTTTAATCTTGATATAATATCATCCTCGCCTTGTCTTCTATCGTCCGTTTAACTCTAATTCCCACAAGGCAAAGTGCGTCCCTTTGGAAGTAAACTACGTTCGAAATTGTCAAAGACGACCACCTATTGTCGAGGAGAAACGTGGGTGTCTTAGACAGGCGGCCGTCCTACAGAGTGTCTTATTATAATGTAAAAACTACACATTGGAGGAAATGGGAAGTCGCCATTTGAACAGGTAATTGTCTTATACTAGTGGCTGTTAGAGCAGGTTCGACTGTATCTGTGTCAAGACCACAGACTTGAATTATAATATCCTAGACTACGCACTTTAACGACTGTTGTTCTTTGCCCTCTGTAAAACTTGGCTGCGAAGAGTGTACACCATGTTCGCCCAAATGAACGGTCAAACACCATTCTCGCTAAAAATCGAGCGTGCGTTTTACACTTGCCCTTCCTTTAGCTACTTTAGAATTACAAATTTCTATCTGACCTTTTTGGTCGTTTTGAGTTACTAAGACACTGAGGTTAGAAACCCCAATGCCCTATCTTTTCTTTAAAAAATCGTAAGATTTTATTCGGAGCTGTTGTCAAGATTTTCAAAGAGCTGCATTCGAAAAGCCTTGACATGTTGTGAAACTCAATTTTTTGACGTCAAATGTCTCAAAACTAAAACTAAGTAGATAGAACTTTATATTTCTAAGAAAACGATATGGCTCCAAGTTACGTTTAATAGTGCGTTCAATGGTGAACCTGACGGACGTCAGTTTGCACAGTCATGGATATTAGTGGGAATTAGAGTTAAACAGACAACAATAGTCTAAACAAAAAGGTCTATAAAAACCAGTGCGTGTTAAACTTTCATATTCAGTGCACATTTTTGCTACCTTTAAGAGACAAACATTTCCGTATAGCCCATCAAATGTATTATGTCCAAGCCGGGCTAAGATGACATCAGTCACTATCCTTATGATCCCCACCTCCCACCCATATTGCCAAATCGTCAACTGGTAGGCAATATCGCCCAGAATGGCAAGTATTGTCGGAGACAATCCCATATTTTCACACTGTTTTTATTTTCTTTAGGTTTTTTTGTCGTACAGTTACGCCATCAAGAAAACTTTGGCGGAGACAATCTTTTCGTTTTACGTTGGTTGTTATTTTCATTTTTTTTTTTTTGGCCATACAGTTACGCCACCAAGACAACTTTGGCAGAGACAATCCTTTCATTTTAAGTTGGTTGTTATTTTCATTTTTTTAATTTTTTTTGCCATACAGTTACGCCACCAAGAAAGCGTGGACAATCTGTACGAGGCTGTGGGCAGCGAGCGAGGCTTGACTACACGCACGTACAGAAGCATGAACATACTCCTGTCCCTCTTCCTCCTCACCTGGCACATCCTGGGCTCCGTGTGGGTCATGGGCATCTGGAAACCGCGGTTCAAACCCCTTCTGCACAGGCCCAACCAGTGGTGCGAGCGCTCCTTGTACTTCTTCAGCATAGCCGTGATCGTGGGCGTGTACGCCTTGATGGTGCTGGTCCTCATGGGCTTCTGCTGCCTGTCGCTCGTCTACAGGTCCAGCACCGCGCGCCGGAGAGCTAATCGATAGTGCGAGGACTTTACTTTCTGCTGTTGTTGCTATTGTATATTATTACTATTATGATATTCTCTTTGTTATCATCATGCTGGTGTTGTCGTCCTGGATTGTTTTGTTATTTTTTGTTGG